TGCCATTTGCTGAAAATACTCAGTCGGGCCCAGACCAGAGTTTCCACACAACACAGGTGTACCAGAACTCACAAGACCCAGAAGTAAATTCAAGGTCAACAATTAAAATCTGAGCTGCACAAAAATGTTACTCTTTCCTCTGTGTAACCGAGGTGAAGAAAAGGGAAAGAAAGAATTCACTGAAAGTACCATCAATGAGGCCTGGAAGGACTGCCAACCAGCAGGGGAGCAGCAGCCCCGGGAGGGACTGATGCCCGTGAGGAGAGCAGCCCCAATCCAAAATCAGCCTTTCTTTTTATTGACAAGACAAGGAAGTTTCACAAGAAAAATCACTTGATTGAATCATCAAAGAAGGACATAAAAACAGGCAGTGTAAAACTTGTAACAGCAGTAAATTAACAATGTGACATTCCAGAATGTAATTTGTAAAAAGCTAGGTTAATTCACCAACAAACAGCTCATCATTAATAAACATTTTCTTTTTCACATACTTCCTACAACAATTTCCTTATCATATTTAAACAGCATTCAAGCAGTTTCCCTAACATATCTTAAGAACAATCAGTAGGTTAAATAGTAAATAGTCATTCAAGCTGGAATCAAACCAGCAACCTAAAACAGTCAAAGTACACAATTCCATCCCTAAACAGTGATTAGAATTGATTAGATGACTTTTGCCAACCTTATCTGTGGACTTTCATCCCCTTACTCAAGAGTCTTTTGGCTCATTCATGCATTACCTAAAAATCCTAAGATCAAAGGAGAATCAAGACTTCTAACTCCCTACACAAAAAGCCTTCCCCAGGTAATCGACAGCAAAGCAGCAATTTAGCTCAACTACAGGGCTCAAGTACTGGCCCCCACAGGTAGTTCCCCCATTTTAGAAGTAAGCAAAGGACAACAAATTAGGCCCAGTGCAGAGTTTAAGTGGTAGGTACAGCAGATAATCCAACACAGAACTGGAAGAAAAACAAAATACTGACAGATCAGAGACAAAGTCTGATGTTAACTAGTAAAGGTCTAACACTACCAAAGAACATCTATAAAACCTAGAGGGACCAGAAACCTCCTGAGCTCCCAAGCCAGGGAGGGGGGAGGGACAGGGTCCTCAGCCCTGCTCCTCAATGACCACACCCAACCCAGCAATGACCACTGAATTGCCATAGGAAATGCCCCATGCTCTTGAGCCAGGACAAGGGGGAGCTGAGGGCCTCAGCCACGTCGCTCCCCAGCAACTGCAACCAGTCCAGTGATGACCACTGACCTGCTGCATGAAGCACTCCAGGCTCCTGAGGGTCTCAGCCACACCCCCTGACATCCACAACCAGTCCAGCAACAACCACCAAGCCTCTGCTGGAAACCCTTTGGTCTCCTCTGCCAGAACCCCTTTGGTCTTCTCTGCCAGAATGAGGGGGGTGCCATGGGCCTCAACCAAGCCTCCTCTCCTGCCTATTCCTCCCACCTTATTTTCTTCTCCCCTTCCTGTCTCCTCCCCCTAAATGCTCCACAACATCTTAGAATGTAAAAATAAATAAATAAATAAATAAATTTTAAAAAGAGAATAGACATGAGGAACTTTTGTAAGTGCACAAGGCAGGAGATCGTCCTCGATTTTTGTATGGTCCTTCAAGAATCCATGTCACTGTTTCCTAAAGAAGCCACTTCAAGTGCTTTGGTCATCAGAAAACTAGAGTAGAGACATGGGAAGTTGTTAAATATCTTGTAATCACCTAGATAAGTGCTCTCTGGTTTAATAATTTCCCAAGTAGTATATTTGTTTGTCTCTAAAGTTCCATTACTTTTTACATCCATAACCACTTTATATACTACTA